CCTTGTAATTTAATTTATAATTGTTTATGGACCAGCAATACTTTGGTGAATCTTGTTCTGTGCACGTATGAATCACATCAGAATCAGAATCAGAATCAGGTTTATTGCCATTGTTAGTGAAGGAGTTCACAAACTAGGAATTTTTTTATGGTACAATCGTGCAACATGAAACATATAATATGGAATAGGTAAATAAAATTATAAAAATATCTAAAACACTGTGTATTTGTGAAAAATTGAGACCGATCTAACTCCATACAGTAATGTTTGATAAGAAACCTCAGAGGATTTTATTAAACAGCTACATTTTCTGAGATATAATAAAACCCATTTCCTGATTTTACTTTTTCTGAAGGAAGTTGGTTTCATTTTAACTTTTAACAGCAACCAAATGAGACTCAGTAGATTTTTACAACCCAAACCTCTTTTATCTCTTTTATTCATAAAAATAAAAGCCTGCCAGGTGTAATTTCCTTCAAGTTCACTATTAGTTTCTGCTAAATATAACCCTCTGTTTTTTTTAGCCTATGATGAAACATCTTCTATGTTTAGATTATTTTTCTGTGTTTTTGCTGATTTTTTTTTCTCTGTAAACACTTGTTATTTCTTCCCCTGACAGCAGAGGGCGGCAGTGAGCAGACTGATTGGACCTGAGGACGGCGCTCTGCTCCGCAGCTCCCCCTGCCGGCCGGCCGCCGCACAGCGCAGTGTGTGTGCGCGCGCGCCCCGGTAAGCGACTGCCGCTGAAGAGACAACACCGCTGTCTGCTGTCAGGTAAGGAAACCACCGAGACATTTCACGGTTTTGCAGAAATAACCGGATGGTTTTCAGTTAGAGACCAATGAGGGACGCAGCGTTTTCTCTCCTCCATCTGAAACCGGGTTTTATTATTTTTTATTATTTCATATTTTCAGCCTGAGGTGGGAGAGGTTTGGCCTCCACTGGTTTCTACGTTCAGAAACATCCCGCACATCATTCAACCCGCTTTGCCTCTACCGCCTGTCCGCGCATCTCCTCCCGCAGCGTTTTGTCCTCCTCGCGCTCTGACTTGTTTTTATTTCTATGCACCGCGCGCGCTCCATCCTCTCCATCCTCTCCATCCTCTCCATCCATCAGAAAAAGGCAGAAACGTGTTGTTGTTCCAGCCACCATCAGAGCATCAGCGTTTCTCCAGAGGGGATGAAGCCATGTTTCCACCTGCAGCTCTCTCTGCGCGTCCTTGGACGCTCTAACGGCTCTAATCCGATGGAATATTTATAATCTTATTATTGCGAGGCCTCCGGAGGACGGTGATGTCATGCCTTTTTCGGTGATATTTACTCCTGTTTGATGTGTGCGCGCGGTTCTTTTGTTTGTCTGCTTTAAGCTCGGTGCGTCAGTGGGAATTTTAGCCGCTCCAGCCTTTCGCGTCGCTTTCCTTATTCTGGATCTTTCGCCTCTTTCTCGCATCTTGGGGCCCAGATGGTCTCTGACGGATCAATTGGTTTTCCTTTCTATAAACATGCATCCAGTTCATCTTAAGGCGACCCTGATGCAGATTCTGGTCTTTTCTCTTATTTTAATCTTTTTTTTTATATCATCTTTATTAAAGAGCGCAGACATTGTGGGCAACCATGAGCCCGCGCGCCTGTGCCAAGCCCATTTTTCATTTGCTCAACAGAGCTCTGAGCCAGGTCGCTTATCTGCCGCATATGGGCTCCACAGTAATCCACCCGAGGTCAGCGGCCACAGTCTGAGCCAGACAGCCTTAATCATGACCCCTTTGTGCGCTTTAATTGGCTGTTTTTAATGCAATAACACCTGCATTTATTCAACCGCGTGGATTTGGCTTTGTGCACCCCCCCATATCACTCATCATAATACATATATTTTTGTGCAGGGGGCAGGCATGTTGGTGCTGTAGCTCCAACCTGCCAGGTGATCCGATGATTGAAGAAAGAGTGCCATCTTGGTGATACTCTAGATTGTAATGTCTGCAAGCATCGAGCAGCACAGAGGCTGTTACTGTAGAGATGCACAGGAATGCTTAGAGGGTGGGGGTGGGGGGCTCCTCCCCTTTAAACTTTAGTGAAAACAGTAACTCTGCCTGACAGATCAGCTTTACAATTTCATCTGTAAATCCAAAACATTCCTTTTTGTTTTGGCTTCTTATTGGAGAGCCGATCTGATCACCAAGCAGTGCAAATCTCCTACATGTTTTAGTTTTGATTCCTCCGCTTTATCTCTGCATCAGATTCACAAAGCAAAATAAACTAAAACCTGCAGATGAGATAAAAACCCATGAATTCCAGCAGAGAGGCTCATAATGGCTGTTTTCCTTTCTTGAAATGAAAAGCCGTGTGACAGTAAAGAGAAACTTCAATTAAACTGATCACTTTGGAAATGGAAAGCTATTTATTTAAATATAAATAAAGTATCTAATGGTGCAATTTCAACTAGTAATCCACTCAAATAACATTTATTTATTTATTCCAGAATAAAAAAAGAAACTGAGAACATCTCAGGTTGAAGGAAGGATTCATTTAGCATCAGTAAAACGTCGCCTTCTTCTTTCTAAACAGATCTCATTTTTCAGTAAACCTCAGCTTTCATATTATCTTTATGGTTCAAACCACTGTGGTGTTTTAAAGCTGAGCTTTTTGCTCCGTAATTCACCAAAATCAACAGAAAGACGCTTGTTTAAAGTCGATTTCTGTTTTTTATCAGTTCCTTTCAGCAGTTCTCCAAGGTTCACTTCTCTTCTGCTGTTCCATCAAATATTCAAATCAAACAATTGATAAAAAAAAAAACACGAATAACCGCTGGATTTGAATAAGAAATGCAGTTTGTTTAACTCCACATTTATTTATATTTATTGTTCATCACTTCGCTTCATTTAATTCATGTCTCATAACACAGAGCTTTCACTTCAGTCTCTTATCTTTTAAATAAGGCTAAATATCTCAGTTTTTCTCCAGTTTTCTGTCCTCTGTGTTCATATGAGCTCCATATTAACATGGAGCGTTTGATAGTGAAGCTGATCACTATCAACACAATCATCTCTAGAATCTATAGAAAATGTTGATGATGATCTTAGCCGATTGTTTATTTCAGGCTCTTTATGTTTAAATGCCTCCAAACATTCATCTAAATAGATTCACAAGATGGTTTAACCTGACGCCTTATGGCCGCTGGTGATTAAACACACATAGATATACACACATAGATATACACACATAAATATACACACATAGATATACACACGTAGATATACACACATAGATATACACACGTAGATATACACACATAGATATACACACATAGATATACAC